ATCATGTGGTGCCCTGCATGGGATCCTGGAGCCAGAAAAGGTGGAACAGAAGGAACCTGAATAAAGTATGGACTTGAGTAAATAACAATGTATCAATATTTGTTCATTGTGACAAAACATAATAAAATAAATAAGTAAAAAGAGAAAAAAGAAAAATAGAGAGTAGACATTAAAGGTCAAATAAGAGAAATCTATTGCATCAGACTGGAAGCCTAGAGGAAATGGGTGATTTCCTAATAAAAATGCACATTAACAAAATGGACCCTAAAATAAGGAAAAAACAAGCAGACCAATTAGCCATCCAGGGCCTCTTCCTCCTGCTGGTTGGTTCTCCCCTCACTGGTCTGGGGTTTTCCTCTGCCAGGACAAAGAAGGAACAGGGACAGAACTGTTCTGGAGCTGCCCTGAGACCTGACCCCACTCACCGTCTTCCTCTCCCCCAGCCATGCCCTGCCCAGTGAGGACACCATGCCTGGGGAGTCTAAGGGATTATTGATCCTGATGTGTCACCTAGCTCTTTTTTGGCAAGGGACTGGACACACTTACTGAAGTAAAAGAAGTTAATATTTTTTAATGTTAGAAATACATTAATACTTGCAAGAGACAAGAGTGGGTTTGGACCTGGCAGGCCCAGGGACTCACACTCTCACAATGTGACCTGGACCATCTCTAACGCTCCATCCTAAGTGCTCTGGGGTGGCCCCATTCACAGGCACAGTCTCTCTCACTGCATCTGGGGCCTCCCACAACTCCAGGCTGACACCCACTCACCATCCATTCATTCTACTGGGAAGGGTTTCTCTTTCCCTTGGGTTCCATAAAAAGTCATGGCTTTAAGTGTCTTTGGCCTGGCTTGGTTCACATTCTCATCCTTGAAGCCATCAGAGCACCCAGCAGATGGAGGAAGGGGTTGGGTAGACCTGGATCATATGTCCATCTCTGAGGTGGGTGGAAAGTGGGGTCTGCCCTCTGGAACTGTTTGGATGGGAGGCAGGTGAGATGTGATTCCCAAAGACAAGCTGAAGTGCTGGACTTGAGCATGAGAACGGATGTTGGGCTGGTAAGGCAGCAGATTCCACATCACTGGTGACTGACTGCACGGCTTTGGAATCTGAAGCCCAAGGAAGGAAGAGGTCTCTTAGGGTCAGGGGCTGCAGCCGCCCATCTAGTGCTCTTGCTGTTTTCCCACGATGGCAAGACACTCTTCCAATTGCTGAAAAAGCAACTTTGCTGTTGGTGGGAAACTCAAGGGAAATTCCTGCCCTGGGCATTGGGTCCTCACATCCCAGAGACTGGAAGGCACACAGACCTCACTTGTGTCCCTGGGAGGAGGGAGCCCAGGAGTCACACATTAATCACACCATTAATCACCCATCCCCAAAGAACAAACTGGCTCATTTTCCAATCTCTTCTCTCACCTTTACAAAGAGCAGAGACCAAATGTGAGGCTGGTAAGGAAATTATTGCTCATTGAAGCAGTGGGAGGCTCAAGATTATTCCACAGCACGGAATCCACACTTGGCAGGCTGTTCAAAGGCCACAGACCCTGGGTCATGCATGAGGCTCTCTGAGATCACGCAGGCTCAGTGAGATACTGCCCCCTGGGAGACACAGTTGTTCCTACATCCTTGATTCCTAACAATTATGCATTTCAAATATTTACATTATAACCGGAGGCCAAAGGACTGCCGGGCCAGTCTGCTGTTTGGCTGTTGTAGCCAGAGCCACATTCTGTATCTGGAGGATTACTACCTCTCTTAGCAGGCTCAGAGGCTGTGAAGGAGGAGGCACTTGTCTCAACCACACAGACGTTGGGAATGAAAACATCCCAAGGAGCTGTCTACACCATCCATGGACCTGTTATGTTGCCAGGAGCAAAGTCAGCTCAGTAACTGACTGGGGGTTGTGAAGATCCAGACTGGCCTGAGCTGGAGGACCACAGATGCTTGCCTGGATGGTCGGAGTCCAAGGGCTGTTCTGAGACTTCATTGTCTACTCCTGATCACATGGATGGGATGGAGGATCCAGCCAGTGCCAGGAGGGCACCACCAGCCCACAAGAAAGCTGCACAAAGGGGCTGGTAGGCCACCACACCTCATCCTATATAAATCCGCACACGCCTACTGAGTGCCCTGTGCTGGAACCTGGGAATCCCCAGGCAGAGTGGGGCCAGAAGCACCCTTTCCAGGTGGGAGGGTGGGAGGATCCTGCATGACCTCTGAGGCCATCCACAACCCATGATTTGGGTTGATTTGGATTTGTTTAGCAATAATCGTGCCTCAGATAAACCTCATTGGCTATGAGACTGCCACTACGCAAAGCTGGTTGAGTTGGATTTGAAACAGTCAGTGACCAGGCACATATTTTACTCTGCTTTTAGAGCCCAACACTGAGGGTGATAAAAATTATGCTCCCCAGACCATCTCCTGATGCATATGTGACCATGACAGTCCTCTCCATCCTAGAGGCTGAGAGAGAGGAAAATAGAGAAGAGACAAAGATAGGGAAGGGGGTCATTTATGATCAAGCAAAACCCTGACCCAGAACCAGGCCCTGATCTAAACACTGACCTTGATTCTGACCCAGAATATGAGGCTGACCTGGACCCAGACCAAGAACCTGACCCAGATCCTTTCCCTGACCCTGACCCTCAACCGTGACCCTGATACTGTCCAACAAATAAGGTATATCAAGTGAGAATAATGAGAAACTAGACTCCAAAAGAAAGGTCCAATTTGGATTGTGGAGATTCAAATGTCTGGCTGAGCATTTGGGGCTGTGATGGCTGAGCAAAACCACTAAAGACCCTAAGCAAAGGTGAGGATATCTAATATGCCAATTTTTCATTCAGGGATGGGTGGAGACTTGGCCCAAAGAGTCCCTGTTCTGGGTGGCTTCCAAAGGATAAACTAGCCATTCCCACCAAGAGCACACAATGAGAGACTGCCCTACAGTTGTGACCTCCGAGCAGTTCTGCTCAGCTTCATTTTCTCCTCAGTGTTTTGGGAAAACATCTTTTGCTCTTTATAGACCTAAAATTATTAAATGGTCCCTGTAAATTCCCTTCTGTAGGTGGAAGAGTCTAGTGCCTAGGCAATCTGACGCCAATGGCAGTGCAGGAGCACATGTATGTGTTCAGCAGCAAAATGACTCATCCTTGCCAGGGCGTGTTCAGTGCAGATATTCTGACTCATAGGAATTGACCTGCCAACTTGCTCCCTTTACTAGGGGGTGATGAAGTGAGTCACAGGGGGATCAGCTGAACCTCAGCAAAATAAAGACTGGTAAAAAATCCATTGCCTTGAGACGACAGTTTGGGGGTTGCTAGATTATGTCCAGAGGGGAGATGTGTACCTCAGCAGAGGGGTTGGAAGGAGGCACAAGGGCCAAAAACATCCACTTGGAGACTTAGGAAGAGAGAGGAGTGGAGGTGGTATTGATCCCTGAAATGAAAACTGATGTTTTCAGATCCACTGTAATAAAGACAGAAACTAAAGCTGAGCCATAGGCTACAACTGATCGGACAGTAAGTTAGGGGAAAGGACACAGAGAGATTTGAACATTCATCCACTAAACATATGCTAGAATTCATGATACATTGATTCCAAGTAAAAAATGTTCAGTAATTAGTAAAAAGCAGAGGGATCTACAGTAGGAACTGAAACAGATCTCCCAAATGGGTTTCAGTTTTGAAGGAGGGTCTCTGGCATTCTCATCTTCATATGATTGGATTATGGGTGTCACAAAAGAAAACAGTATTTCACAGACTTGAGGTGTAAAAAGTCCCTGGATTCTCTAAGCAGTCCGGGACTCCACTGCTGTTAAGAAATGTTTGTTGAGTAAAACTGAGTTGGAGCAGGCTGTCACTGGAGTGAAAGAGAACGTTCCTCAACAATCTGCTTTTACGCACTGTTTCCTGACTTCAACGGGCCGACAAGAAACTAGTTTTTCTCCCTCAGAACACAATTCACATCTACAAATACCTTATCTTATAAGGGATGTGGCTTACTCAATTTCAAGAACTTCGTTTTTTAAGAAAAACATTCTTGGGGCACCTGGGCGGCTCAGTGGGTTGAACATCTACTTTCGGCTCAGGTCATGATCCCAGGGTCCTGGGATTGAGCCCCATGTCAGGCTCCTTGCTCAGCAGGGAGTCTGCTTCTCCCTCTCCCTCTACTCCTCCCCCTGCTAATGCTCTGTCTCTTTCACTCTCAAATAAATAAATAAAATCTTTTTAAAACTTTAAAAAAAATTTTTTCATATTGTTTTCCCTTCAGTAAAACAGAACTTAAGAATTTAGTTGCTTCAGAATCTAAGAATGATTAACATGTGCTTTGAGAAACAAAATAATAGCACAGAGGTAACACTAAGATGAAAAAGAATGTTCTTACCTTTTACAAGAAAGGAAACGTTTGATGTTATTTTGCTATAAACTAATTACTGGAAATAGGAGCATCCGGGCCATAGCTACATTTGCTCACGTCTCACTGAGATTTAAACAAAAAAAACGGCCAATAACATCCTCACCATGCAGAAGGGGCGCAGGCCCGGGCCACCAAGCAGCGCTTCGTGCAGCCTCGGTGCCACGTGCGAGGTGGAGGAGGCGGCAGGAAAAGGAGCAGGTGACAATGGCTGCTTTGGAGAGTGCAAAGTTTCAGACTTGTTGCGTTTAGAATTGAAATTCTTTGTCAACTTTTACTTAAAAAAATAAAACTCTCAGTGTTCGAAGTGACGAAGGCTGCCACGTCCAAAAGGCGGAAGAGAGAAAAAAACAAAACTAAGGACACAAAGAGTTGGTGAACGTACAGAAGCCTCTCCTCGGCTCATTAGAGTAAATTCCTAACCCCAACCCCTAAACCCTAACCCCGCCCCCACCTCACGGGACCGGAAGTTAGGGACGCATGCAGCGCGCTGACGTCCGGCCATTTCCTTAGTCCCGCCTCCTCTCCCCTGCAAACGGCGTTCTGCGCGCCTTCCGGCCGCGAAGTGCAAGCGCACGAGCGCCCGGCTCCTCTCGCTCTATGGCGGCCGCCCGTGCGGGGCCGGCTGAGCTGGGCTTCGTGGAGGCGGCGCCGGCGTGGCGGCTGCGCAGCGAGCAGTTCCCAAGCAAGGTGGGCGGGCGGCCGGCGTGGCTGGGCGCGGCCGGGCTGCCGCGGCCCGAGGAGCTGGCCTGCGCGCTGTGCGGCCGCCCGCTGGCCTTCCTGCTGCAGCTGTACGCGCCGCTGCCCGACCGTGCCGACGCTTTCCACCGCGGCCTCTTCCTCTTCTGCTGCCGGGCGCCGCCGTGCTGTGCGGGCCTGCGCGGTGAGCGGCCGCCGCGCCTGGGGCCCGTGGGGGGTGGTCCCGCGCCCGCTCAGCCGTGCCTCCGGCCGCCGCGCTTCCGGGCGCATCCCTGGGCCCCAGCTTCTGGGTGAATCAGTGGGTACGGAGAGTGCGTGCTTATACCGACAGAATACGAACTGTTTTCTAGAAAGCTGGGCCCACATAATGTTTCCGTATTTCTGCAGTGTGACTTAACTGTTAGTCTATTGGATTATTTTGAAAAAGCTCAAAGACCCAATTCAGATTGTTGTGGGAACCAAACTAGTTTCTTGTGCTTTTGCACGTTCTTTTGTCTCCCCTTTCAGAAGATAAGATCCCTGAAATCGAAAAGTTCCCTCTATTTCTCTTTTTAAGAAATAGTGTCTTTTCAGTCCTGTGTGGACTGGAAGCTCGAATATTTGGATTGCTATATTAACGATATTTACATTTCTCATTTCCTCTTAGTGTTTAGAAATCAGCTACCCAGGAAAAATGACTTTTACTCATATGAGCCACCTTCTGAGGATCCTCCTCCAGAGACGGGAGAGTCTGTGTGCCTCCAGCTCAAGTCTGGTGCTCATCTCTGCAGGGTTTGTGGCTGTTTAGGCCCCAAAACATGCTCCAGATGTCACGAGGCACATTACTGCAGCAAGGAGCATCAGACTCTAGACTGGAGATTTGGGCATAAGCAGGCTTGTACACAATCAGGTGAGTCAACTCTTTTTAAGTCTTAGCTCAGTTTCATAGCATCTGTCAACCCAAGTTTTTTGTTTTGAGGATAAAAGTTAAGATTAGAGAAGGTAGTATTCTTTTCAAAATTTTAGTAACTGGTAACATGAACACCTCTATGAAAGAGGAGCTGTGAGGTCTTGCCTGCTCAGTTATGTCCAAGACTTGCTTTAATATTGGTGTTTAATTTATGACCTAAATTGCTGGAACTACATGTATTAATTTACTAGGGTTACTATACAGAATATAGTTTAGAAATGGGAAATTATTTGATCCTCTTTAAAACTAAACGATTAGTAATGATGCTAGTTACCTTTTCATGTTTCAGATTATTTGGACAGAACAGTTCCAGACCACAGCTTCCTTTTTCCAGAATTTGAAATTGTAATAGAAACAGAAGATGAGATTACACCTGAAGTTGTTGAAAAAGAAAATGAATCGGAAATTATAGGGAGCATGGGTAAGGAGTCACTTTTAGAGCTTTATTCATATAGTGCTGGAAAGAAAAGGCTCAGTATGTCAAAAAGAGAGGTAGGTACTGACAGGAAGTCAACTCACTTTGGAGTCTGTGCCCTATGATTTTCAAACACTGTCATTTGACAGTATCTTTCTGGTACCTCTCTTCCTTGGCATGTATATCAGATAGATTCTGGTTCTGATGAAGACATGTCAGGGTAAGTATCCAAGTGGTCATTTGGGTAGGGTTCCTCCACATGATGCTGGAAACTTGTTAAGTTCATCTGGATCCAAGATCTGTTTCTCAGATCAATATAGAATATGAGACCCTTAGCATAGTGTTTGGCGGGTGACAGGGGCCCTTTAAATGTTTCATCAGCTAGTTTTCAGATACCCAATTTTACAGGTTATCTAGATGATAGTACGCTAATGTAGTGCCTAGGCCTACCAGATACTAAGCGAAGGATTAGTAGCCAACATTTATCCAGCACTTACTCTGCATCAAGGGCTATTTGTGCATGATCTCATTGAAATCCTGAAGGCAGTACAGTGAGAAACTGTACCTCATTTTGCAGTGAGGAATTTGAGGTTTTCTGGGTAACTTGTTTGGTCACGTAACCAAAGTTGTTAAAGTTTTAGAACTGCAGTTTGAGCTCCCATGTTGTTGACTCCAGAATTTGAGCTCTTAACTACCACAAAATTGGGTTTTAGAGTCTAAATCAGACTTTACAGTATCAGCTTACTGGTTTATAGTTCATATTCAGGTGATATCAAGAATATACTTTGGTACATGTAACACAGACTAAATCCTGTTGAGGACAGCAGGGGTTCAGACAGCTGGGATTCCAGGAGAGGAGTGTGCAGGAGTGTGCAGAGAACAAGCTGGTAGGTCCACGGTGAGTGAGTGATGGCTGAATGAGTGTACCAGCTGGGAAAAGACATGTGTGAGATATGAAGAATCAGGGCAGTCCAGGCAGCTTAAGGGCAGTAGTGAAAATAAAAAGCTCAGCATTTGTTGGGTGTCCTGTCATCTACAGGGCACAAGTCTTAAACCCAGGACTTGGGTCTGTTCTTTTCATTTGAAGATTTAAAGAGAAGCACTCACTAGGAACCTGCCCAGTAAAGTGGGGTACCTGGAAAATCAGATGGTCTTGAAATACTATAATGAATTAAAATAGGGAAAGACTGTGGGAACATCTGGCTTTCGCTATCTGATTTATTTATTTATTTATTTATTTTTAAAGATTTTATTTATTTGAGAGAGAGAATGAGAGAGAGAGAGGGAGCACATGAGAGGGGGGAGGGTCAGAGGGAGAAGCAGACTCAATCCCGTGCTCCAGGATCATGACCTGAGCCGAAGGCAGTCGCTTAACCAACTGAGCCACCCAGGCGCCCTCATTATCTGATTTAACATTAAGTTGGTTGTTTGAAATTTCCTGCCCTCAGCATGTAGGAAATGTCAAGTCACGGGGACTAGTCCTATTGATGTAATGGTTGTGTTGATAATTTTTCAGGTGAAGCACCTGAGGAAGAATTGGATTCCATGGCAAAACACGAATCCAAGGAAGATAAAATTTTCCAGAAGTTTAAAACTAAAATAGCCCTTGAGCCAGAACAGGTAAACTAGAACTCCTACAACTCCTTCTTGTGTTCTTTTCAGGTGGTGTTTTCAGGGTACAGTCCCTGAGAAGTAACTACTATAAAGCTACTCTCTTGTTATGAGTCCTTCACACAGATAGTCTGCTGATCCTGTCAGTAGTTACTGAAAAACTACAGGTTATACTCTTTATCATGTAGGGTCCGTATTTTAAAGAAGGCATCCGAGACAGATGAGTAAGATGTTGCCTGTAATACAGGAAGTTTGCACCAGTGGCAGAAAGAAAGGAACAGATATTTTTGCCCATTTATCCAATAGGAACCTTTTGCTTGTAAAACCAACATGACATGTTAACACAGACACTGGTTTTGTGAAAAGAAAAATGGGCTTTGGAGTTGGGAAGAAGCCTGGATCCTAGAGTTACACGAAGAGCTCTGATGTAATTGCATCTACAGTGTGAAAAAATTAGAGGTCAGTCGTGAGGATGAAGGAAGAATGTAGGCACATAATAAGTGCTCAGCAGATGTTTCCCTTCTTCATCCCTGTTTTTCTGTTAGTATCATTCCCCTTAAAGACATTCAATGTAAACCTAAATCACTGAAGAAAGTTCAGCTAAACTCCTGTAAAGCAATCACTGAGTCAAATAAATATCCAGGAGAAGAATATCATAAGAATAGACCTAGGTCCTAAACACGGTGAAGGTAGATTTTAGCAATGCATATGCTTTTAACAAAACATAGGAAAGCCACTCTGTTGATGTTTAAGATCTTACAGTGAAATTTATCTCTGTAGTATTTATCTAAACAACTGTATTACTTGGTATTTGTCCCTTTAAAATGAAAATAATATATGAGGGCACCCACAAGCGGGGGTAGGGGGGCAAAGGAAGACTTTCTTTTTTATTTTAAGATTTTATTATTTGAGAGAGCATGCAAGAGAGAGCGTGCATGCACGCTTGAGCAGGGGGAGAGGGAGAGGGACAAGCAGACTCTGTGCTGAGTGTGGAGGCTCCATCTCATGGGCCCGAGACCATGACCTGAGCTGAAACCAAGATTTAGGCACATAACCGACTGAGCCACCCAGACACCCTTGGTCCCTTTTAAAATTTTTAACTGAGGAAAAGAAGAAGATAGCAGGAGGGAAGAATGAAGGGGAGTTAAGTCGGAGGGGGAGATGAACCATTAGAGATGATGGACTCTGAAAAACAAACTGAGGGTTCTAGAGGGGAGGAGGGTGGGGGGTTGGGTTAGCCTGGTGATGGGTATTAAAGAGGGCACATACTGCGTGGAGCACTGGGTTTGTTATGCACAAACAATGAATCACGGAACACTACATCAAAAACTAATGATACAATGTATGGTGATTAACATAACAATAAAAATTAAAAAAAATTTTAACTGAGGTTCCTTTTATCTGTGAAAGTAAGCACAGACTCTGGGCTGCATTTTGGATTTAGAAACTGGTAATGGAGAAACAGGATTAGAGTGGGACCCTCACAAAATACTCCTAGGATTTAGATTCTAACCATATTACCATGTATGAAATAGGATTTTGATATCCTGAGTCATTTAAGCTAAAATAACTGATTTGATGACACTGAAAAAGCATTAACGGTGCCAGGTCTGAGTTGGGGGGAACAGTAAACTGCGTTTCGGATGAGTGTTCCATCAAGGCTCTCCAGATTATTATCCAATCACGTGCTACCACTGGAAATTTAGGTGAGATGATGATTTGCACATGATCCTGGTTGATTTTAGGTTCTCAGATACGGCAGAGGGATTGCACCCATCTGGATCTCTGGTGAAAATATCCCTCAAGAAAAGGATATTCCATATTGCCCCTGTGGTGCCAAGAGAACATTTGAATTCCAGGTATGACCTTAAATGAGTATTTTAATATGTATAATCATCCTAAGTTATGTTATTAAAGGCTCCAAAACTTTACTGAAGTAATATATGCACATGGGTCCTGTTACTACAGAAAGTGCCTTGTCCCACCTAAGAGCTTATTCCCTGGAGGGAATTGTCTTTTACAGTTTTATCTGGTAGTTCTCTAAATAACATGCTTTTTCTGATAACTTGTCAGTTTACTAGTTTTTAGACATTATCCGTTGACGGGCACGTGCAGTAATGAGGATTTAAATGTAGTTTCTTATACCATCTGGACCATCCTCCCACCTCCCCATGTGGTTACATCATTATTTTTAGTGTCTGCATTTTGTGACCTTATAATTTTAAATATTCCTTCTTTTCTTGTTATGGCAATTAAGGTATTTTGTACTTTGTGACAGGAGCGTTTTAGAGGCCTTAGTAAGGTTTGGTTTTAGTTTGTGGATTTGTTAGGAAAACAGATGGATATAATCTTTAAGACAAACGGTTTTTCAAAAGGAATTGTTAGGATCACAATCCATTTGGGTTGGGTAGAAATGCTCTTGTTGATTTGCTAACCTTACAGAGTGGTAGGTAATATGTTTTGCTTAGGGTAAAAAAAGGAATTGTGAAGACTGTATCCAACAGTAACTGGTTCTTAGTGTCAAAGCTAGAGATTAAAAGACCGGAGTGCCTGCAATCGCCCTGGCAAGGAAGGTCTGTTGAAAGCAGACAGTGCTCCCTGCCTCAGCGCAGTGCTCTAATTCTGTCATCCTCTTAGGTCATGCCGCAGCTGCTCAACCACCTAAAGGCCGACAGACTGGGCAGGAGTGTCGACTGGGGTGTCCTGGCTGTCTTCACCTGTGCTGAAAGCTGTAGACTGGGGATTGGCTACACAGAGGAATTTGTTTGGAAGCAAGATATAACAAATACACCCTAAAGAGAATGTCGTAAAGCCTTAAAAATGCTCATAATCTCTTAGACCTTGCAAGTCCATTTCTAGGACTTTATCCTAAGGAAATAATTATAGCAGAGACAAAGGTACAAAGATGTTGTTTTAGGTGAGTTTACAATGTGTAAATATTAGTGCAACAAAAATGTCTGGTGACAGGTATTTAAAGAAATTTTGGTGAATCCCTACAGCAGAAGGTAATGCAGTCTTAATGATAAACATCTATATGTACAAGATACAGGTTTAAACTGACACCAAGATATTCATATTATGTTCATATTTTTGTAAAAGTATACATGTGTATGTCCACAGAAATCTGGAAAGATACATACTCGGTGGGAACTAGTTAACTATGGATGGTGGGACTATGAAATGATCGTTTTACCTATGTGTTTGTTTCTTTCTAAAATAAAAATGGGTTAATTGCCTAATTAAGACAATCCATTACTCAGAACATTTTTCCTCCTAAAATTTGCAATGTTAAAACCAAGAGAAAACTAGTTGGGTAAAACCCAAAGAGACGTGACTGGTTATCAGGTCATTGTCATGGGCTCTAAGACACATGGAAGTCCAGAACACTGGAAAAATACAAAACTCCAGTAGGCTGGTGAATGTGATGAATAACTGACTTCAAAGAGAGGCTCTACTTCAAAACTGACCTTGATCTGCCAACAGCACTGCTCACAGATGAGAGATGAAAGGCAAGAATAATGGTCTTTCTCTCCCCCCCGCCCCCCACTCATGCCAGTGTACACGTGGGGAGTAAACCCAAGTAAGGAGGCAGGAATTGGCCATTAGAATTTCGCTAGGGAAATCTGGCCCTGAGGTCAGCTAAATCTGTTAACCGTGCTAAGGCTCCTTCCAGCCCCTAGTGTTTCACAATTATGCTGTGACAATTCCCAGTTCTTTCAACACCAGTGATGCCTGCCCAGCACTAAAGCAAACCTGAAGGGACACTGCTGTTGATCAGTGCTTGAAAACCAACAGCTAATCTAAGGTGGCTCATATTCTCCCATAAGTGCATCTTTTTTGGATATAACCATTAGTTAATGTCACTGACTACCTGGTTATTTTACTACACTTCTATATGAGAAAGTCCTGGTCTATTAGCCCACATTATAGGTACATATGTGTTATTCATAAACAGATGTGTATGAAATACAGTGAAACATAGCTCCATATGGGAAACCAGCATGGAATTCTGACGGGGAGATTTGTTACTAAGCTACTTTTAAATACAACCTGTAAAGAGGGAGGATGGTGTCCTGGGAGAGTGAAGTCTGAGAATGACCTACAGCTATGGTGATACAGCCTGTTGCTACTGGAGGACACGTTATAAGTTGTCCATCATCTGGTGGCAAGAATCAACACTTGGTAGGAAGCTCAGTGGCTTCTGGAAAACTGGACTAGTGGGGGGTCTTCACATTGCCAATTGTAAATGATTCTTAAAGTCAGGAGATGTTACAGTAAGTTTTCCAAAGCAGAATAGTGACCTGACTGCTAAGGACTTTAAGCAAACCCATTAGGGTCTGTTTGGAGACATCACCAGATGATTGTGGACATTCTTGCAGGTATGTTGGGAATAACCAGCCAAGCTGTCCTTTAGGTATGTATCCCTACCATGTTCTGGCAATTAGGGTGAGGGTTCACAGGGTCCTTCCACTTATAGACTAGTCCAAATCAACAGAAAGAAAATGTCACAATGTCAACTAGCATCCATGTTGAAAAATAATCCATCATATGAAAAAATAAAAATAACCTAAAACCAAAAATTTACATAAAAACATTGAGCAACTCAGTTACTTCTAGAAATGTCAAGATGCATTTAAAAACACCCTAAAATTATGCCTCACCCAGTAACTTCCTGTAGAGGATGTCATTCACTATTGCCCATCCACGTACTCCACTGCCCACCAAAACTTCGGTTTGGCCCAGACACTGCCTGAGTCGGATGACCCGACTGCTCACCCCTCCTTTTATTAGATACTGAACGCTGGTCTCATCATCCCTTGACAAGTCAGAGATGATAACAAAATAAGTATTTTTAAGTGCTTTTGATAATCACCTTGGTGGTAATGCAATCTAAGACTGTTACATGTATAATGTAAGATAAAGTAAATGACCATGGGATTTTCTAACATTATTCTGTGTGTCTTTAAAAATTAAGGATTATCGGTGTAAATAATGTAAGTGATTAAATGAAACCCCCGTAGTCCTGAATTTGAATTGGATATATCAATATGAATTCATGAGGTATTTAATCTCGAAAACTTTCAAAGGGAAAGCAGCATTTATCCTGCTATATGAAGTGTATCACTTTATAAAAGTATTCCAATGAACGACTGGAAAATAAGTAGAATTTCATCATTTGCAACCCACTAATGAATTCACAGATCAATGAGAAGTCTCTGGATGTAGCTGCTCATTTGCAGGAAATCGAACACAGGAACATGCTGAACTACACCATGAGTTTGAAAATAGCAAAACACATACTGTAAGAAACTACCAGCTGTAAATTTGGCCTCACATTTTAAGGAAAAGACAGGGAGGGGGAATATAAGGAGTAAAACAGAGAAGCATCCTTTTTTTTTTTTAAAATGGAAGATTAACCCATATTAGTAATTTAGGTCATGACTATAAAATGATAACAAAATTCAAGATAATGGTTATTGGGGGGGGGTGTTGTGGCTGGACTAGAAGAGGCCCCTGGGACACGGGCAAGATTCTGAGTGGTGGTTGCAGGGATGTCTACTGAGTAATACACTATGCTAGATACTTGTTAGGTTTTCTGTGTGTACTGTTTCACAGGGAAAAGCCTCAGAATTCAGTAAAGTGATTGGGAATAAAATAAATATGTCAACAAGACTTGAAACGTAATGAAACATTAATACCAGGAAACAGAGAAACTTAGGAATTAACTTATATGAAATGTATAAGCCCTATATGAAAAAAATATAAAACTTGACTAAGAGAAGATCTACATGTGGAAAGATACTTCTTTCTTGGATGGAAGGAGATAATATTGGACTGATGGATGGCAGTGGCTCCTCTCCTAGGCATGTTCATTACAGAAATGTCTGCACTGAACCACAAACAGGCATATAAGGGTGCTTCCTACAGCTGAAACACTGCTGATAATTAAGGAAATAGGTAAATACATAAAGGTACGTAAGAGATGATGTACATCTGTGATGCTATCAGACTCCACGACATACTGACTGAAAAAAAAAGCAAAGCTATAAAACAACAAATGCTTTAGTATTTTCTAAATATGGGATCAAAAGCAGCCCAAAAGGAAAGAAACTGCACAGAAGGGGGCTTGGGAGATACCTGGGTAAGTAAGCAGCAGGGAGAGAAGGAAAGAACTCTTCCTTTCTGATTATGTGCCTCTGAACTGCTTGAAAATATACTTTGACAAATTAACCCAAACAATAAAATCCAAGAACTTACAAATTTCCAGGTAATATTCATGAGAAAAACAAACACCTCACCAGGCTGTACACATACCCAGCTTTAATACTGAAGGACTCTGGCCGAGAGCCTGGTTTTGCGTTCCCTAGCTATGTACCCTGGGGCAAATACCGCAGCTGAGGCCGGAGTTTGCTCACCTGGGAAAAAGGAACAAAACCGAATTATAGGTTTTGTGAGAATTACAGGCAATGTATCTGGGAAACAGGAGGTGCTCGATATATGGAAGATAATAAATCCATGTTTCATGAGCAACCTTAAATTTTCAGGTAGTTCATCCATTATCACTGCGACATACAATGCAATGTTGATTGAAACAAACAACGAGCAAGCAAGCACACACTGAAATGGTTTCAGGCAATTATATCTAAAATACAGCTTTAACAGTATGATCACACAAATCTTACAAGGTATCATTTATAACATCAATCTAACACTTTTATAAACAGCATTTATTGTACAGAGTACTCTGAAGGAAGAAAAATATGTACAGCCATTCGTTCTCATTAATACGGCTACTTTGTCCTGCAATACTGAAAAGGCGGAATGTGTCTGGCACAAAAATAACCCCTAGGAGTCACGAATTAGAAAAACAACACTTTTAAAAAAGATTTTTACTTTTCTGGTAGAAATATAAAAACTGTGGTTTATGGGGAAGAAATTAAACAAAAGAAAAAGTCCAATCAATTGTAGAGGTGGCTTTAACACTTGAAGTTTTGTACCTCAAACCAACCTGCTGACAGCAGTATGTGTTTAAAATCTAAATATAAATAAACGGGCAGCGCTGCACAAACAGCAGCACAGTATGAGCAACTTACACAGCGCCGCAGAGTTCTCTGTGCAGAAGTAAGACCACTTCCCGGCAACCCTGCGGGGAACGCAGGATGGAGAGCTTCACTGGGTGCTACAACCCGCAGAACAGCCATCTTCTCACCAAATCGGAGCCATCCACAACACCACCATTTAAATGTACCAAAATTGATTTGTTTTAAAAACAAGTGGGTGCAGAGGCAGGAGTACATAACAGCCATTATGTCGTCTTCCTGAAACCCTTTAGAATAGGGTAGATATTTTCAAATGCTTCATAAATTTCTGCTCTGACTTTAGCACCTATAAAGACAAGTCGGAAAAAAGAGTCTGAAATAGCTTTTCTTAACATGTTAAAGAGGTAAAATTACTTTAAAATAAAATTACTTTAAAATTACTTTAAAACCATAAGCACAATTCTCATCCATTATTCTCCCACTTGCTGCCTTTAAGCAAGCTCTTCTGAACCTTCCCCTATTGTCTCCAAATGGCATTGTTGATGAATCTCAGAGTTACAGAAGGGTTTCCACCTTAAAATGCCATCTCTTAACCAATGTAATGGCCACCTTCCCTGCTCTCCCCACTACAGGTCTTGCTGTGGTCTGATTTCCCTGCTCTCACTTCCCCTGGTGGATATGTTTCTCATCAGTGTTAGGGTGGAGGAGAAGAAAGGGGCAAAGGCACTTGCTAGCCACCTGTCCCCAGTCTTCGAAATTACTTCTCAGCACTGAGAAAATGCTGTTCTCGAAACCCTTTCAAACCTTCGGACACTACTTCCTGTTACAACTTACCTGTTAATACAACTTTTCCAGAAACAAAAATAAGAAGAACAATTCTGGGTTTGATCATTCTGTAGATTAAACCAGGAAATAACTCTGGCTCGTAACTAGGAGGAAAATGGCAAAAAGAGTTTAG